GAGTTCTTCCAGGACCTCGCGGACCTTGGCGTGGCGGGCGGCAGGAGGAACTGGGACTGGGCGAGCGAGGCCTACGAGAAGTCCAGGGGCAGCTTCAAGTCCTGGATGGACGTCGTGCAGCTCTGAGCACAGCCTCGGCCGTTGCGCAGGGCGAGGGGGGGCGGGGGGAAGGGGAGGCCTCTGAGAGGGCGAAGAGGCCGTCCTGCCTGCCAAGAAGAGACCCTCCCCCACAGTCGAACAGAAGACGGCTCAACCGTGCTTGCTCGGAGCTCCGCGCGGACTTCTCGAGTCGGCGCTGGCCCCCCCGGCGCGCTTCGATCGCCGGTGGGAGGGGGGGGGGCCCAGCGCCGAGTCAAGACGTCCGCGCGGACCTCCGAGCGTTTCCGCTCGTGCAGCTTCCCGTCCCGCGCCCACCCTCCAGACCCGGGCCCGAGGACCACCTCGAGAGTTCGCGAGGGGCGCCTGGCTTCCGGGCCGGTCCTTCGGCCTGCAGGCCGGGGGGCCTCTCCCCTTCGTGGCCGAGGCCGGCCGTGGCCAGAGGAGATAGGTAAAATATACTTTTGTGATAAAATATGAATAGTTTGAGGTTTCTTTTCAACCAATTGCACCATATACACAGGAGGTTATTATCTTTATTTTTTTGTCGTTTGTGTCTTTTTTGGTGCCCCTCGCTGCCGGTCTGCGCGCGTGCGCGGCTGGCTTCGGCGCCGGGTCGGGGGCGGCCTCGCGCCGCCCGCGAAGCCTCCGAGAGGGGGGCCGCCCGCGTGGGTTCTGTGCTGCTGAGGGTGGAGCGCGAGGGCCCCACCAGGGGCCCTTTCGGGCTCTTTTGGGCCCCTTCTGGCTCCAATCGGGGGAGCGTAAGACCGCGCCTCGGATTTTGACGAGGAGGAGTTTCGTGGGATGTCTGCAGCGGGAGGCCTCGTCAAAATGCAGGCTCGGCCTCGTCATTTTTTTGACGACCTCGTCGGGGATTTCCGAGTCCACTGTACCCAGGTCTTACGTCCCCCTGATCCAAGAGGGGCCCCAGAGGGCCCACTTGGGGCCTTCCCAACGGAGAGCCAAACACCCCACCGACCACCCGCCCGATCCGGGGGCCGCCCCCCTCGCCCTGCGCCCCCTCGGCCGCGCCGCCGGCGGCCACACTGCACCCCGCCGGGCCTCTCGCGGCCTCGGGCGCTCGGCCCGAGTGCCAGCAGAAGGCACAGCAGGAGCATGCAGTCAACCTTCACAGTGCGTACGGCAGGGCCGCGTCGGGTCGACCGGCGGCGACCTCGCCGCCGGCGTTCAACGTTGAACGCCGCCGGCGACCCAGAAGCGGTCGATGTTGAACGATCTGACGTTTCGGAAACGGCCGATCGTTCAAGGTTGGACGATCCCCGAGGTGTCAGAAGCCAGCGCCGAAGTCGGCACGACACGAACATGCCGTACGCACTGCTTCATCAAGGCTGCTTTTGCTTGGTGAACCAACAAGAAGGTACAGAAACATCAACTTTTGGAGGTCCACGCGGATTTCTCGCGTCTGCGCTGGAGCCTCCATGGCGGCGCCTCTGGCGCCGCCCCTGGCGAGCTCTGCGCGCCAGGCAGGCCGCCGATGCAAGAAATCCGCGCGGACCTTCGGATTATGTAGCTTTTTTTCTGCCCTCCAAATCGTGATGCGTTGCCTCATCAAGTCTGCCCTTGCATCCATGCTTCTCTGGCCTTTCCTGAGCCGATGTTGACGTCCAAGGAGCTCCAAATGGTAATTGGGTCTTCAAAAGGTTTTGCACCCTCACTTTGCATCCTTACTCTGAATTTTTGGCTGTACGGTAGGTTCGTTTCGCGCCGACGCGGCGAGGGTGCTCAAGGTTGAACGCCGCCAGTGGCCCAGACTCGGCCAAGGTGGAATGGTCTGGCGATCGAGATGCCGCCGATCGTTGCAGGCCGAACTGTCCACGAGGTGTCAGAAAAACAGCACCGGGGCCGTCACGACACGAACCCGCCGTGCAACTCTCGGAGCTCCGCGCGGACTTCTCGGCTCGGCGCTGGGCCTCCTCCCCGGAGTCCCCTCCCCCCGGCGCGAGGGGCGCTCCAGGAGCGGCGCCGGAGGTGCCGCCAGGGGTGGTGGGGAGCGGGGGTGCTCCGGCGCCGACCCGAGAGAAATAGGCGCGGGCCTCCGACCGGTTCCTGCCAGTGAAGCTCTTCTTGTCGTCTTCTGCTCCGCGGCCTCGGTGGCGAGGGCCCCCTTGCGGATGGAGCGCTCCGGTCCCCGGCCGTCCCGGCACCCTGTGGCCCCCCTGCCAGCTGGCGCTCTCCGGGCTCACGTCCCAGCATTTTTTTCAAACGCGCCGCCCGCCGCTCTCCTCCTTCTACCTCCTCCTCCTCCTCCTCTTTCATCCCCCTCCTCCTCCATCGGCCTCCTCTTCAACTTCCTCCTCCTCCTCCTTCTACTCCTCCTTCTCTTCCTCCTCCTTCTCCTTCCTCCTCCCTCCTCGTTCTAGTCCTCGTCTTCCTCGGCCTCTTTTTTTTTCGCTGCGCTAACTTTAGCCAGTGAGCTGGAGCGTACCATGGATGAAAAAAGAATGCGTGCAACCAGCTCAGGAAACGCCCGAACAATTTGGGCGAGGCCAGCGTAGAGATTGAACGGACAGGGCAGGGAGCCAAGCAAAAAGAAGTAGGCCCAAAGGCTCGAAATATACGCTAGCCTCGCGGCACTGGTAGGAGAGAGGGATTCCGAACCGGATCGAACGAATAGAAACCTAAACCCAACAAAGCAGGAGCCGAACAAGGGAGAGAACGACATACACATGCAAAGTGCTGCTTAGCATTGTGGTCGTCTCAGTTCTCTGCGCCCTAGGTAGGAGAACAGGGTAGCTAGGCAGCAATAATAAAGGTATGGGTATATGGTGTCCCTCACATCCTCCTAACTCTACCCATTACCACCCGCCGCCCTCAAGTATAAAGAAGCACGTGCTGTGGCAACGTGGACTCAATGACTTAGCCGTTCGAACTCGAGTCTTTATGCGCAGGCTCAGTGCTATATTGGCTGGCCAGGGCGTGAGAGGAATAGAGCAAGCGGCTGACGGAATATACAGTTGATAATTGGTTGGTGTGAGGCTTGGATCGGCCATGCTGGCCAAGTCTGTACTGGCTGGTGTTGTAACAGAAGCGGCTATTGCACGTGGTTGCGGCCGTCTGGATCGTCCTGGTAGCCTACTGTTCGAGATACGTTGACTAAACTGCAGTTTTAGCCGTCATTCATTCTGATGGCTGCGCAGGTGTAACATAGAGTAACGTAGCAAAAGGCTGGCACTGCTGTGTGTGTGTGCTCTGCCACCACCCCGAACCGCTGTATCCTCCCCTCCATCGTCTTCCTTTTCCTCCTTCTCCTTCTCCTTCTTCTCCTTCTTCTCCTTCTTCTCCTCCTCCTCCTCCTCCTCCTCCTCCTCCTCCTCCTCCTCCTCCTCCTCCTCCTCCTCCTCCTCCTCCTCCCCCCCGCTCTCCGACTTCGCATTCCTTTCGTGACGCGGGCCCCCCTGGGTTCTGGGCCCTTCCTCCAGGGCCGTTTTTTTATCCCGAGTGGTTGTCCGACGGCCCCAGGGCCGGGAAGCGGCTCCCATGACGCCGGAAGCGTGGCACAACTTGCCGTCGCGACTTTTTCCAGTCGCCCAGATTTGAGGGCCCTTCCTCACCCTCCTCTCCCTCCCTCCCTCCCTGCCTCCTTTCTTCCCCCCCTCTTCGGAAGCAGTTGCACTCAGCACCACCGCTTGTACATCCTTGGTTGAAGTCCCGCCTGATCCCGCCCAATCTGGAGCCATCCAGGCTGAATCCAGCCTCCAGCATGATGGTGCTCTCATCGTGCTCTTGCTCGTTTTCACGAAGACCTCCCAGGAGCTGTCTCCTGATCCCGCCCCCCCTCCCTCTCCCTCCCTCCCTCCCCCTCCTCCCTCCCTCCCCTCCCCCCCTCCCTCCCCCCCTCCCTCCTCCCTGCTGCAGCCATCCGGCGGTGCACTCAGCGCAGCGGCCTCCGGCGGCGAGTGCCACCGCCGAGCGGGCGCACCGTCGGACGGCCCTGGGCCAGCCTGGGCCGAGGCGCGTCGTTCGGGCAGACGCCCCGGATCGTTCCAAAAAAAGCGCCGCTTTCCTCAGCACCCACCAAACCACCCCAACCCAACTCGAAGGCCCAAACTTATCCTCGATTTCCAGGGGGGGGGTCGGGGAACGTTGAAAAAGCGCATGGAACCCGTACCCCCCTCCCCAACTCTCAATTCGGGTCAAATTCGGGTCTTCGGGTTGGGTTGGGGTGGTCTGGTAGGTAGGCATGTCCTCAAGGAGCCCAGACCCCGTCGCGTCGTGACACAGTTGCGGCGCAAGGCTTTTGGCGGTGGTCGGCCTTGTGTTGGGGGCCCGGACCGGGCCCCAGGAGCGTCAGAAAAAGCAGGGGGTGAAGCACCGCTCGCTGGGAAGGGGACCAGGCTTCCACGGGTTAAGTCGGGCCTGTCCCTCCACAGGAGGGATACTCAAAAATAGTAACAAAAATAGTCTGGGGGCGATTTTTAGAAAATACTATTTTTGAGTAGTTGGGGAGTATTTTAGAGTATTTTTCTTTTTCGCCCAAAATCCCCCTGTAGGGGGACACGCCCGACTTAAGACAAGGGGTGAAGCACCGTTCGCTGGGAAGGGGACCAGACCTCCACGGGTCGACGTTGTGACAAAATCAGAAACGGCAGACCCTGAAAACTTGGCGCCGCAATTTTTCCACCTGGCGTTTTTGCCAGGGCACGGATTCCAGGGCCCTCGCAAAGCGATCTGGCTCGACAACGTCTGCAGAGAGACAGTCGTGTTTTTTTCGCGACGTTCCTTTTCTTTCGCGACGTCGAATCTCAGGGGACGCCCTGGCCGTTAAAACACAGCGCCGCCGGTTTCGCTTACAGTGGTCGTCGCGCAGTTGTGTGTGGAACGCCGTGCGGCGCGGCGTTACGTTATGCCCCCCTCGCCCCCCCCCCCCCCCCATATCGCCCGTTATGGCGGAGAATGCAAAATGCGATCCTGGCGCGTGCGCAAGGGGCTTCGAGCTGCGGGTCGCTAAGGCGACTTCCCGCTGCGCGGAGCTGGGGCGCAGCCTGAGTGCGTCCCCTCTCAGGCTCTGTCTTGTCTCAGATCGATGTTTGACGGTCCTTCGTCCCGAAGCTGGCTTGTTTGGCAAAGGCTCCAGATGGCAACACTCCGCCGTCTGGGATCATTCCTTCGAGCCTGCCGGCTTCCTCAGGGCAGTCATGGTATATTGGCCCCGATGTAGGCATGTGTGGTGGCCCCCTGGCTGCCCAGCGAAATCTGTCCCCTCCCCTCCATGTCCCATGTCCCATGTCATCGTCGTCGTCATCGTCATCGTCGTCGTCCTTCTCGTCGTCGCCGTCGTCGTCGTCGCCGTCGTCGTCGTCGTTGTTGTCGTAGTCGTCGTCGTCGTCGTCGTCGTCGTCGTCGTCGTCGTCGTCGTCGTCGTCGTCGTCGTCGTCGTCGTCGTCCCCAACTGTCGTTGTCGGCGGTGGCGCCGAGGAGATACGCAGAGTGATCCAGCAGAGCATCGAGCTGAGCAGCCAGTGCAGCGGCGCGCGCGCGCCCATCCGGCCCCCGAGAGGAGCGCCTGGTCAGGAGCGGGAGCGGGAAGCTGGGGAGGGAGGGAGGGAGGGAGGGAGGGAGGGAGGGAGGGAGGAGGAGGAGGAGGGGAGGAGGAGGAGGAGGAGGAGGAGGAGGAGGAGGAGGAGGTGGAGCAGGATGTGGGGGGGGGCTAGGCCAGGGGGGCAGGACCATAATCATCAGGAGGAGGGCATGAGGGGGGGGGGAGGCAGGAGCATCGCAGAAGAAGGAGGGTCATCTGGGCGCTCACGGACATCGCCTGCGGCTTGGGGGCTAGGCCAGGGGGGCAGGACCGGAAGGAAGCAGGACGATGGCAGGAGGGGGAGGAGGCGGGGGAGGGAGGAGCATTGCATGAGACAGAGGATTATCTGGGCGCTTTACAAGCGGAAATAGTTTGCTTTGCCAAGCTCGCGGTACCGCGTGGGCACGATAGCACTGCAGCACAATATCATCAGCTCGACTCACAACCTCACGACTCACAAGCTCACGAGTGTGCTAGCTCGAAAACCGGCTGCGCAATCGCCCCACCTGCGCAGCCGCATCAGTCGAAAAGTTGCGGCAGCGGGAAAGTGAGCACGAGTTGTCTACTGGTGTGATGGCCAAGTGACCGTCAAGAGGTGGATCAGCACCCCCGCTCTTAGGACACCAGACAGACCTGATGAACCATCCGGCTGGCGCAGAGGGAGGTGGTTCATAATCCCACAACACTGGGGACATGAAGCATGCCTGATGACCCACTCGGCTCCAGAGGGCGACGGATGATTGAAAGCGATGCGACGTCCCTCAAACTCCACCAGACGACCTCACCCGATGTCTCCCTCAACGGTGAGTCGAATGGGAATGCCATCACGAAGGAAAGACAATTGTGGTCGATGGGTGATCGCCTAGTTCCCGCACCATTGGACCAACCGTCACGATGATCATAAGCGCAACGGCGGATGACCGACCAACCGCGATCCAGTGTGCACAGGCACCCCGCAGATCCAGAACCGCCGAAGGAGCGATTACTGCCGCTGCTGGCATGGTGGGGGGGGCGTTTCACACCCCCCAAAATCAAGGGGAGAGGGGACATTCTGGACCCCCTCTGCGTCCCGGGAACATTATCCGGAGGGGTTCAGAGACCCCCGCCCTCCCGGGCCCCCCTGGATAATTTTCTGGAGGGATCCAGGATCCCCCCGCCCAGGAAAATTGTTCGAGGGGTCCAGAGTCCCCCCCCAGGCAATGACGACGACTTCTTCTTCTTCTTCTCCTTCTTCTTCGACGACGACGACGTTATCGACGACGATGACGACGACGACGGCTGCGGCGGCGGCGGCGTTGGCGGCGGCGGCGGCGGCGGTGGCGGCGACGACGACGACGACGACGGACGACGGACGACGCACGGTTGCCACGACGACGACGCTGACGCCGACGCCGACGCCGCTGACGACGAGGATGAGGAGGAGGAGGAGGACGAAGACGACGACGCTGACGACGAATATGGACGTAGACGAAGACGAGCACGACGACGACCACGACGACGACTACGACAGCGACGATGACGACGACGATGATGACGACGACGAGGACGCCTACGAGGACGACGACGACGATCGAGCCCTAGTGGGATCATATTAAAGTTAAGTGGGGCCCAGGCCCTAGTGGGATCATATTAAAGCTGGATCGAGTACGAAGAGGATTCTAGTAAAGTTGGATCCAGCCCTTTACGCTTCTATTAAAGATGGATCGAGTCTTCGTAGACTCGCATTAGAGCTGGATCCAAGTCTTTCAAGATTTGCATTGATGCTGGACCGAGCTTTAAAATTTCATCAGGCCGGAATTCGATGAGGGCTAGATCGAGCCTTCGTAGGGGTTTATTAGAACTGAATCCAGTTCCAGTAAGGTTTTCTTATAGCTGTGTGGAGCACCCGAAGAACTCCATCAGGGCTGGGTCTAGCCCTAGTAGGGTTCTGAGAGATTGACCGGCCCGTACAAGGATGTTATGACATGTGGATGGAGTCCCAGCATGATTCTGTTAGAGCTGGACCGAACCCTAGTAGGATTCGACTGGAGCTGGATCCAACCCTATAATAACGCAGTTGGAGCGAGATCCAACCTCGGTGGTATCGAAGACGCCTACGGCGAATCACCGCCGCCCCCTGCCTTTGTGGAAGCGTCTATGTGGCCGACCGTTGAGGCCAGACCTGCCAAGCTATCGGACCATATGTTCCCGGAATCGGTTTGGAAAGCCTTGGGGGAACACGTGGGCATTTTGACGGTCATCTTGGCCGCCTGGAGGCCATCTTGACCCTTTCGGGCCTTCTTGGAGGACGCCTGCCTCTTAGGGCCGCCTTGGGCCTCTTGGGCGATCTTTGGGGGCACTTGGGCTGTCTCGGGCCGTCGGAAGGCCGAACAACAAGCAAATGCCACAATCCTTCAAAAACTCATTAGAAATCAATGATTTTGGCCTTTTCGGGCCTTCCTGGAGGCCCTCTTGGAGGCCTCTTGGGCAGTCTTGGGCCATCTTAGTGCCATCTTCGGCCGTCTTGGTGGGCCCCTGGCCCGTCCGACGCCGTCGGAAGCCGTTTGGGGGGGCCTTTCTGGGCCGACTTAGGGCCCTCTTGGAATGCTCCAGGGCCGTCTTGGAGGCCATCTTGGGCGTCTTGGAGGCCTCTTGGGTCGTCTTTGTGCCCTCTTGGGGCCGTCTTGGGGGCCTCTTGGGCAGTCCTGAGGCCATCTTGGAGGCCTCTTGGGCAATGTGGGGCTCTTGGGCCGTATCGGGCCGTCGGAAGGCCGAAACGAAGCAAATGTCAAATTCCTTCGAACACCTATGGGAAATCAGTGGTTTTGGCTTTTTCTGGCCTTCCTGGAGGCCCTCTTGGAGGCCTCTTGGGCCGTCTTGGGCCAGCTTCGAGCCAACTTCGGCCATCTTGGTGGGCTCCTGGCCCGTCTGACGCCGTCGGAATCCGTTTGGGGGGCCTTTCTGGGCAGACTTGGGGCCCTCTTGGGGTGCCCCAGGGCCGTCTTAGAGGCCATCTTGGGCGTCTTGGAGGCCTCTTGGGTCGTCTTTGTGCCCTCTTGGGGCCGTCTTGGGAGCGGGCCTCGTGGGCAGTCCTGAGACCATCTTGGAGGCCTCTTGGGCGCTGTGGGGGCGATCTTGGGGGCCTCTTGGGCCGTCTTGGGTCGTCGGAAAGCCGAGAAGAAGCGAATGCCGAAATCCTTCAAAAACCTAAGGACATCAGTAATTTTGGCCTCTTCGGGCCCTCCTGGAGGACCTCTTGGAGGCCTCTTGGGCCGTCTTGGAGGCCTCTGGGGGGCCTCTTGGGCCGTCTTGGGCCGTCTTGGGCCGTCTTGGACTCTCTTGGGCCGTCTGGGAGGCCGTCTTGGACCATCTTGGGCGGACTTGGAGGCCATCTTGGACCATCTTGGAGTCCATCTTGGGCTAGCGTGGCTATCTTGGCGCCATCTTGAGCCGTCATGGAGGACTTTTTTCCGGATTGATGTCCTTCCCGGGACCCCGGCGGGACGCGCCGTAGCCCCAGGGGGAGTTCTATTGGAAAAGAACCAAAACCAAAACCGAACTCGTCTAGCACGCCAGGCACCCCTGCGATGTATCGACAGGGGGCGGCGGATTCTATACAGCTGCCTTCGGCAAGTCCCGCCACCGTGCCAGCCCAGCACGCTCGGCGGCTCTCCTTCGAAGGGGCACTGGATGCCGTACTTGCGAGGGGTGAACATCATGATAACGATGATGGTGATGATGAGGATGATTATGATGATGGTGATGGTGATGGTGATGATGATGGTGATGATGATGATGATGACGACGACGATGTTGATGATGAGGATGAGGATGATGATGATGATGATGATGATGATGATGATGATGATGATGATGATGATGATGGTGGTGATGATGATGATGATGGCGATGGTGATGGTGATGATGATGCTGATGATGCTGATGCTGCTGCTGCTGTTGATGATGATGATGATGATGATGATGATGGCGGTGGCGACGATGATGATGGTGATGCTGTTGATGATAACGATGGTGACGATGTTGATCATGCTGACGATGATGATGCTGCTGCTGATGCTGCTGCTGATGATGTTGATGATGACGATGCTGCTGATGCTGCAACTGCAGATGATGATGTTTATGATGGTGTTTGTGATGATGATGATGATGATGATGATGATGATGGTGGTGGTGGTGGTGGTGGTGATGATGATGATGCTGATGCTGATGCTGATACTGCTGCTGCTGCTGCTGCTGCTGATGATGATGATGATGATGATGATGATGATGATGATGATGATGATGATGATGGTGATGGAATGAGCGTGTTCTACCGCTGCTGGCGGAACACCGGGGGGGGGTCACTGGGGGTTCCCAACCCGTCCCCCCCCCTCGAAAACCGGGGGGGGGGGGGGTCACTAGAGGTTCGAACCCCTCCCCCCCCCCAGTCCATCATGAAAAGGGGGGGGGGTCACTACCGGTTCGAACACCCCTCCCTCCCCTCGAAAAACCGGGGGGGGGGGGGTCTCTACTGGTTCGAAGCCCCGCCCCCCTCGCCGCCGGCTAACGATTCCCGCTCCTCGGGACAGTTGGACAATTGTGGGGATGCTGGGACAGTGGTGGGAACGGTGGTGGGAACGGTGGTGGTGGGGACAGTGGTGCGGGGACAGTGGGACGCGGACAGTGGTGGGGACGGTGGTGGTGGGGACAGTGGTGAGGGGACAGCGGGACAGTGGTGGGGACAGTGGGACAGTGGTGGGGACGGTAGTGGTTGGGGACGGTGGTGAAGGCGGTGGTGAGGACAGCGGTGGGACAGTAGTACAGTGGGGAAGGTGGTGGGGATAGTGGGGACAGTGGGACAGTGATGGGGACAGTGGGGACGGTGGGACAGCACAGTGGGACAGCGGCGGGGACAGTGGGACAGTGGTGGGTACAGTGGGGACAGTGGGACAGTGGTGGGGACCGTGGGG